GCACAAATAGGTTGCTTTAAGAGAGACAAGTATCCTGGCTGCTCAAGGGGAGCAGTTTCTCACCAAACCCTTCCCTGTGGTACTCTGCCTCACCTTGTGCCTAGAGCTATGGAGTCAACAACCTATGGATGGAGACCTCCAATCCTGAACCAAGATAAACTTTTCCTCCTCTTAAGAAAAAGAAAAGACAATATGGTTGATGTATGTACATTCCATGTATGTATTATATGTCAAATTACATTCTACTGTCATGTATGACTAAAAAAAATAAATAAAATTTAAAAAAATAAATTAAAAAAAAAGAAGAAGAAAAAGGAAAAGTAAATGGGATCTGGGGAGAATAAAGAGAAGATCTGAAAACTTTTCATTAATACACATTTATGCCAAAACCATGTGTTCTTTCCAAAACCATGTGTTCTTTCCATCTTATTTATTGCCAAGAAACTACACCTGAGAGGGGAGTTATGATAAATTTATTTTGGGTTTCTTCTTGGGAGTAGACTTGACTGAAAAGAAAATGTATAGCATACTCATTTGCCAGAAGTTGCCGCTTTTAGTCAGATAAGGAGACCTCTGAGAAGGCAACTTCTACATGTGTTCAAATTAGAAATAATGCCTGAATGCTTCTCTTCCTTTCCTCATCCCCCACTACATGACTTTGGAAGGCATTTCAGATGACCCTTACCAATCCTGTTCAGGCAGCATTACTCATTTTTATTATTAAGGTATATTCTGAGTTTATAACTGTAGTTACCTAAATGGATCACCCTTTTCTTGCAGTTCACCTAGAATAGGGCTCCTGAAATATGATTCTTTTTTTTAATATTTATTTTTTAGGTGTATTTGGACACAATGTCTTTATTTAATTTATTTATTTTTATGTGGTACTGAGGCTCAAACCCAGGGCCCTGCATGTGCTAGGTGGGTGTTCTACCATTGAGCTACCACCCCAGCCTCTGAAATCTGATTCTTGATAACAATATCCTGCAGGTATGTTGTACTGGACATCTCACTGAACATTTTGTAGTTTTTTTAAAAATCAAAAATGCCATGTGTCAGCCTTCAGATACAGTATGGATAGAATCTAATCTCTTCTTCCAATCTCTATTATAAGTCCCTTCATCTCTTGTCTGGAGCCTAGATGAAGAGATAGTCACTTAAACCACTATGATACAGAATGCTGAGGGCAGAGACCAGGGAATTTGATGATGACCTCACAATAATCATATCAATCTCCTTACCGCTCTTGCAGTCTCTGCCCTTCACTCAACCTTTTCCAACCCTTCTACATAGTACACAGAATGATCTTTTTAAAGCTTAAGCTAGCTCATATTCCTTTTCAGTTTAAAACACTAAAATTATATTCCATTTTTCTCAGAACTAAATCCTAAGTCTTTATAATGGACTACAAATATAGGCCCCCCACTTCATCCATTTTTGTGGGGGTTGGGTGAGTACCAGGGATTGAACTCAGGGGCACTGGACCACTGAGCCACATCCCCAGCCCTATTTTGTATTTTATTTAGAGACAGGGTCTCACTGAGTTGCTTAGCGCCTTGCTTTTGCTGAGGCTGACTTTGAACTCATGATCCTCCTGCCTCAGCCTCTTGAGCTGCTGGAATTAAGGTGTGTGCCACCAAGCCCTGCCTTACTTCATCTTTGAATTCAGGTCTCACTATCTTTATGAGAGTCTAGGTCTCCAGCCTCTCTGATCCTATCCCAGAGTCTTTGATTGATAATCTTGTTAGGTTTCCTTTCCTACCTGAATGTCTCTGCTCCTGGCAACTTGCCACAGGGATCTGGCTTGACACCCCTATGTTTAGCAACACTCAGTCCTACTTCCCAAATGCTTTATTTAATTTATTTTTCTTCTGGTACTTAATTCCATCTGACATACACTTTATTTACTTATTCTATTATTTGTCATCCCTCCTTAGATTGATGTCTACATGAGGGCAGTCACTCTGCCAGTTTTTCCCCCACTGCATTATCTATCTTGTTCAAGTGTATCAACATCTAGACTAGTGTTCTGATCAAAGTAGATGTAGATAAATCTTTGTTATTTAAAATTCATCACCTGTTCATCACCATTCATATAGACCCCAGAAAGTTTTGCAGGGCAGCTGCAAGTCAAGTTCAGTCTGTTATTCCTTTCCTTTGGTAACACAAATGTCTCAGCTTCTAGGTCCTGTCTTGCTAGCTCTTACCTGAGGTGTGTCCAGTCCTACCCCAAACAACTGATCAGAGAATTTCTTTCTCTGAAAGTTGTTCTGGTAAATACAGTTCTCTTGTCTTGTTACTTTTTCAGTGATACTTGATGCCCTTACAATTTGTGCAACAGGAAACAGCCTGGCTTGCCTCTCACTTACTCCACCAATACCAAGCAATCACCATGTCCTTCAAAACTAGACAGAAAAGACACATGAAGGGTATCAGAATGGGGGAAAGCATAGTTAGCATTCTAAATTCACACTCTGGATATTTTTATTCAAATTATATTAAGTTGAACTCATCAAAACAATCTTCTCAAGGTGGAGATAAAGAGTATTCTTGGTTTGTATCTGGAATACTGCCCCCACCACCCCCACCATCCAAAGTCTCATGTGTTCAGAGGTGGGGCTTCAGGGAAGTGATTGGATTATGAGGCCTCTGACCTCATTCTGGGACTAATCCACTGATGCTCAATGGATTACTGGGAGGTGGCACCTAGTCGGAGGAAGTAGGTCATTGGGGTCATGCCCTGGGAAAGGTTTATCTTCTTTCAGGCTTCTTTCTCCCACTCCTTCTTTACTTCCAGGATGCCTTGGGCTGAGCAGCTTTCATCCTCCATGCCCTGCCACCATGACATTCTGCTCACCTCAGGCTAATGCAGTGAAGCTGCTAATCACAGACTGAGACCTCTGAGATCCATAAGCCAAAATAAATCTTTGCTCCTCAAAGTTGTTCTTGTGAGGTATTTTGGTCACAGTGAGGAAAAACTGACTAACACAGATGTAGGAAGTGGATTGGATCAGGTATTATATTGTTCAAAATGTAATAGAAACATAACATGCATATAAACACATGGTGAACACAGGTCAAAGTTCCATCTTAACCCATTAATGAAGGAACCAGTGTTGCTGAAAGGTCGGGCCTTGTCCTCAATGCTAATCCAATAATGAAGACATGGCCAGCTTTGGGAAAAAAAGAAAAAGAAGATTTATTGCTTTGCTGGCAAAGGAGAAACACGGGGGACTCCTGTCCTAGAGACGGATTCTGCCCATCAGTAGGAACAGGGGCTTTTAAAGAAGTGATTCAAAGGCTACATTCCACATGTTTTGTGTTGGAGTTGTAATAGTCATTTCTGAGATCTTCTGGTACCATACCCAAAGTCTGGATTACTTTATTCTTATGGTGGGTATGTATTCAAGGACAGATAAATCCACCTATAATGAGGAACAAAGGTAATCCTATTTCCCTTGAGATTGGGGAGGGGAGATTAGGGACAAGCAAGGAGAGGAGAAAGAAACATGTCCTTTAAAAAAAATAAGTTTCAGTGGCAAAGCAGCAAGGGCTACAGTCCAAGCATAAAGTGGACCACTGTTAAACCAGTAGGATGGCAAACTCCTTCAAAGAAGAAAACAGGTGATCCCCCCCTCTCCTTAGTATATAGCCAGTTGAAAAGTTGGGGAAGGAAATTCTTGGAAAGAGAATGAAACATTAGAAAATTAAAGTTCTAACCCCAGCAAGGCACACTGAATTTTTACAGGACACTGATCATTTACATTGCCATGGGGTAAATGGTAATACTTGGGTCTCTTTCATACAACACACTTTTGGCTATTTTCTGCAAATTAATTTCTGACCTTAATTTTTTTTTTAACTGTGGTGCTGGGGAACCAACCCAGAGGTTTGTGCATGCCGAAACTGTGCGCTACCACTGGGGTACATCCTCAGTCCTACTTCTGCCCTAAAAAGAATTGTAATTAAGGCCAAGTCACTACAATACACTGACTGACCCTTGGCAGCCTTGTGGTATAGTTCTTTTCTGCCTCACTTTTAAGTTCTAATAGGTACAGTCTGGTGGTGCACAGAAGACTGGAAAAGTGAGGTAAAGGGTATTTGCCTCAAGTGACATTTATTTCCATGAATCCTCCTCCTTCCATTGCTAGTTATGGGTAGTCCCTGACCTTTATGCTCTTCTATTATCCTGTACTCTACACTCAGCACCCTGATAGTTAAGTGTTTCTCCCTCTAGACTACAGGAGCGTTTTTCTTGTCCACCTCTACACAATCTACCGTAAGCTCAGGATTTAATACATCTTACAAATCTCAACAAATGTTCATTGAATATCTTTACAAATAAATGGCAACTGAATTGTGCTGTGAAAAAATCGAACGGCTTTGAGGGGTACTTCAAGGTGGGGTCAATGGTGTCAGGGCAGGAAGATATGCTGGAAGAAAAATATCAACATCTAAGTGAGAGGTGAGGTKCAGGGAGCCTTTATTCCACAGTCAACCTTCCTCGCCCTTTGTCCTCCCCATCATACTTGGGCGGGGTGCTCGACCCTCCACCCTGCTGTAGGCAGAAAAGGAAGGGAGAGAAGAAGGTAGAAACCAGGGGGCGGAGAGGGGGCGTGCAGAAAGAAAAGGAAAGAGAAAAGAAAACCGAAAACCAGGAGGCGAGAATGGGTTCCTCTACAGCCACCTCCGCCCCTCCTCCATCCGCGGAGACTCTGCCACTTTGAAAAACCTTTTCGGTCTATCAGGTGGTGACACTATACCGTATCCCCCGAAAGAGAAGACATGTGGCAGCTCCTCTCACACTGGTAGGTCCGTGGKGTCCCTCAACCCATCCCTGGCTCATGCACTTCAGCATCTCGGGTCCCCGCGCCCGACAGCCGCGCCCCACTCCAGCCTTCGATTCCGGGTACCGGCGGACGCGCGCGCCGTGCGGGCAGGTCGGGAGCGCGCGCCGGCCGGGGGCGGAGCGCTGCGAGATCTGCGCCGCGCGTCCCACCTCCCGGCTAGCTTGCTGCTGGCCCAGCCTGCGCGCGCCGGCTCCCGGCTGGAGTCAGCCCATCTGCCCACCGCTCTGGGGACTTGCCCCTGACCCGCTTGCGAGCCGGCAGCCGGGCGCACCCGGAGAGGACAAGGAGGAGCCATGAGCCGCTTGCCCGTTAGGGTGGCGGCGCTGCTGTTGGGGCTGCTGGTGGAGGTAGGGACCCAGCCGCTCCCGGCGCCTCCCGAAGCGCTGGTGTGGCGCGGACAATGCTAGGACAGAAGGGGGGACGCAGTTATGAGGCTTCTGTACCCCGGGAGACTTCCTGGGGGAGTCGAATTGTCGAGCGGCTGAGAACTACAGCCCCACGGACCTGCATATGTCCGGGTGCGGGAAGGTGTAGGAGCCCCGGTGACAGGGAAGCTCTCCTGGCCCTTACGCTGCTTCTCCCTGTCCTCCCCCTTCTATCCTTGTCCCCTATCCCCAGCCCCCTCTCGGAAAGCTGATTTCTTCCGCTTCTTGCTCCGGTTTGCAGCACTCGGGAGTGACCTTTGTGCCCTGTCTGCCCACCCTCCCTGCTGCGGAGGGCCGGAGATCGGTGGGAGTTGGGGGGGCGGGGGTCCCCGCCAGCAGAGCAGCGCAGGCGCGGAGAGTCCGGGACGCGAAGCGGTTCGGGGTTGTGGTGGGACGACGGGGGCTGGAGAGGGGGCGAGTTGCTAGTAGGCGGAAGGGAAGTGGTGAGAAATGTCACGCGAATGCCAGAGAAAATAGCCGAGATGAGCAGCAGGAAGAAACATCAGTGCTTCTGAAAGTGAAGCGCAAAGTCTTCAGGTGTGAGAAGAAAATTCCACCGAGAGCTCGGGTGGTGGGTGCTGATCAGAAGCCTAGGGAACTTGTTGAACTGCTAGAGGGTGGAAGCGGCGCCCAGTGACCACAACCCTCGTGGGGACTGCGGCTCCTCCTGCCCGAAAAGTTGCATCCTGTGACAGGGGCCACCCCCTTCTAGCTAAAGCGGGTTCTTTAAAATGGGCCCTGGTGGAATTCCAGTGTGGAGGATCTGAATTAGGACTTAACTCCCTACTGAGCCTGTTTATTTGGAAAGAAATTTGTGTTACATTAATGAAGTCAATGTAAATGAGAAATGATTAACATACTTTTTTTTAATGTCCTAGTTTAGACAGTTGTAAAAACTCCCCCTTAATAGTTGAGTGATACTGGAAATGACGACTTTGTTTTTTCCGTGTATTAAAAAGAAATTGTTAGAAAATGTTAGAGGGCAAGTCTTAGTTCTCTGGAAAAGAAGGTTGATGGAAAAGTTTTTCCTTGCTCCAGGCTCTACCATAGCAGACTTCCTGTTTTTGTTTGAAATATCTCTCTCGTTTAGTATTTAATGTTTTTTGTGGAATGCCTCCCTGCTCCAAATCTTTCCGTTTGTTCAGAATTTTAAAACCTTAGGAATCACATCCCCTTGGTGACTCAACATAGAGAACAACAGAGAAATGAATCAGAGACCGCTATTTACATAAAAACAAACAAAACAAACATGTGTGTACCTTAATGCATGGGTGTCTACATTTGTAATCTTTTTTGTTTTTTTCGCTGCTTAATATAATTAACTAGCCTTCCCTTTCCTCTGCATTTGTGCCACCCTTGTCTCCCAGGCCTTTTTTTTTCTCTGTGGTTTTGTGTCTGTGTGTATCCTAAAGAGCCTTGGAGACTTGGTTCTTTCCAAAGCAGCTGTTTTGTTGCGTAGGAATTTATCATCTTAATCGGGAGTTCTAGTCTTTCTGAAAGGTTGAAACATCATTAAAAGCAGAACCATGACATAAAACTAAAACCTAAATGACTAAGAGGATGCTTTCATAGAGAGTAATTTTTTTTGTTTGTGGGATGGTGTGGGGTACCCTATTTGCATGCAATGATTATCCTGGGTACCTAATGTATGGTGGAGGAATTTAGGAGATTTCTTTATAGTTTATCACATGGAATTTTATATGTGAGACTTATATCTGTGATTTTTCATCTTAAATTGATTGCTCTAAATGTGTTTTATTGGCATACTTTTGATGCTTTTGAAGTCCTGAATCACATACATAAATGTGCGATTATGGAGTGTGTGGGGAGCAAAGGGTACTTTTCATGTTGAGTGTTTTAAAATAATTGAGAGAGGTATTTGTTGGCTTCAGGCTTCTTTCTGACTGCTAGCTACAACCTGGGACATTTGTCTTTGTTTCTTTGTTCTATTTGAGCCAATTTCAATGTAGAAATTTAGTGTGTAGTTGATCATAAGGTAATAAGGGAGRCCTTGTGGCAGTTAGTGTTCTATTTCCACCCTCTGGAACCCTGTAACCCTGTCGCCAGCTGTCTTCATCCAGGATCAAGCATGTTTTTTTTTTTTTGTTTTGTTTTGTTAATTATTTTTTTAGTGTCAATATACCTTTATTTTATTTATTGATATATGGTGCTGAGAATCGAACCCAGTGCCTCACAGATACTAGGCAAGCACTCTGCCATTGAGCAACAACCCCAGATAAAGCATGGGGTTTTTATGTCAGTGAGGGGTATCTGAATAGGGAGGGGATCTAAAAAGTTTTGAAAAGAGCCTTTCTGCCTTGCATCACCATTTCTTTGTATAAAATTATTTCCCTCTTAGACAAAACTACATACTTATTTTTATTTGGTAAATATTCATAGAATGATTACCTGGTGCCAGGCACTGTTCTAAGCACTTTACAAATGTTAACTTGTTAATCCTTTCTGGCACTTACTTTCATCCTCATCCTTGTTTCAAATGGGAGATGTTAAATAACTAGTCCCAAGTTTCACTGCTTTTAAGTATGAGAGGTTAGAGCTGTAAACCCTGAGAGTCTGTGCCTTCACCATGATATTTGCTTCTTCTTCCATACTCTGTCTACATGGAGACATGCAGGAATTTGCACATTGTGTAACCCCAGGTCAGTAGTGGATTGGGAGAGGTTCGTGACCTAATTTACAGGTAAAGCAGCAAAATCCCTGCTAGAAACTCAGTTACCCTTTCATTGAGGGACCCTATAATTTAAATCATGACACTTTGGAGAGTGAAATTGGATATTGATTGTTTGTAATTGTGCCTGAATAGGAGACATCAACAGTACTGTCTCAGGAAACCTGGGTTGTGTGCTCATCCTGAACATACATCCTGGGCAGAGCTCTAAGCAGGAACAGGCAGCTGACAGCACCATCCCTCCCCCAGGGAGGCTTCTTGGAGCTCATTAATGGAGTGACCTTTTTTCTCTTAACTCAGAATTTACTATGAATTATGCCAACAGCTAGTAAGGGCTTTATTTCTTCTCCTCCCTCCTGCTTCCCCCAGTTTCTCTGCCAGCTGCTTAAGTCCAGGGACTGGGTCACAAATGTAGAAGATTTTTTTTATAGATTGGCCACAAGTTCTGGTTCCCACAAATAGGAAAACCCAAAGCCCTTTTGAATGTTTCTGTTCTGGTGAGGAGATCTCCTGCGAACGTTCTTTTTTTTTTTTATTGGTCGTTCATAACATTACATAGTTCTTAATACATCATATTACACGGTTTGATTCACGTGGATTATGAACTCCCCCTTTTACCCCGTATACAAATTGCTGTATCACATCAGTTTCCCTTCCATTGATTGACATATTGCCTTTCTAGTGTCTGATGTTCTTGTGTGAAGAATGAGGAGACTAAGTTGTCTCCTGCTATTCTTGGTGGAGTAATTCCTAGGGGCCTTCACTGGGCCACAACAGCACCTTAGAAACCAAAAACAAAAAAGAAGAAGAAGAAGAGGGGGGAGGAAAAGGGGGAGGAAGAGGAAGAAGAGGAAAAAGAAGAAAAGAAAGCCCTGATTGTACTTTGGTTGAAACTGGAGAATAATTAGGCCTCAAGCATATGTACCTCCCTGGGGCTTTTCAACAATGTATTGTTTTCTAGACATTGTCATTGCACAGTTTGTCACTGCAGAGTTTCTAGGGCTTAGGTTATTGATACTTTTGAAGTACATATTGCCTTTGCCAGAAATGTATAGTATACTACTTTAATTTGTTTGTTTATTTATTTTGTGTGTGTGTGKGGGGGGGGGTTGCGGTGCTGGGGATCAAACACTCCATCACTGAATTATACCTTACACCCCCCAGTATATTATTTGGTATAACCTTTACCCATGCAAGTGCTATAGGTTCATTATGTTCATTCACAGAGGGGAAGAACTCATTTAAGGGACCAGCCTCAGTATCTTTCTGATATTTCCCTGGAGCCCAAAGCACCTTTTTTTTTTTTTTTTTTTTTTTTTTTGATACAAAAGAGTGAACTCAGGGGTGCTTTACCACTGAGCCACATCCCCTTTTTAATTTTTTTTTTTTTTGATACAGTGTCTTGCTTAATTGTTTAGGGCCTGGCTAAATTGCTTAGGCTGCCTTTGAACTTGTGATCCTTCTATTTCAGCCTCCCAAGCCACTGGGAGTATAGGCATCTGCCACCATGCCCTGCCAAAACTGGACACTCTTAAATGAGGCTGCCTCATGCTTCAAAGTTGTTCTGCAGAAGAACCAACAACCCTTGAAAGGTTGACAGTGAGCACTATCTTTGAAACTAGGAAAAAAGGGATTACTGAGTATTTTTCTACAGTCCTGTGTATTTTGATGCCTAGGAATCTCAAAATTAGAACCAAGTTATGTTTAAGGGTGTTTTTTGTCTCCTGCCAAATGTTTTTTCATGCTCTGGAATTCCAACAAATGTGGCAGCCACTGGCTGCCAATTTTCTGAAATAAACCTTTCAACCCTCCTACTCTTTTTTAGTTTTTAGCATCTAAGCAACATGCAATTTGAGTGAAAAAGAAGACTATAGAGATTTATCTCTGGAAACTTCAGGGGAGCCTGGGTACTTATGGTTGAGAAAGAGGCAGCAATAAATGAACCAGTGAACCAGGTGGCAAAAACTTCACTTCTGAAGTGGAACAAAGATGGGGCCAGGTGTTGGTGGTGGGAGGAGGTCTGGGAGACATCTCCCAGAGCTGGGCTCTACTTAGCCTTTGTTTTCATTTAGCTGTTCAGACCATAAAGTCTAACTCGAGGGAAGAGACTCCAGAAATACATAACAAGGACAGGATCAGGGTAATGGCTCCTTATTTATCTAGTCTCAGGATGCATGTTTTTTTTTTTTTCCTAGAACTCACTTTTGTCATGATTTCTTGATGAAGCCTCTCA